GAGGGTGCTCACACATTTAGGGTTTCCCATTAATGCACCAGCGCTACAGTTGAATTTTCTACTGCAACACTCCCCACGCACACACACACAGTGCACCCGCGACTGTTACAATGAAGGCTCGATAATCAGCTCACGGCATATAGGCAGGGGTAAAGTGCTATTTTTACAAGTGGGGAGCGGACCTCACCTCCTCTAGGAGGGTCCTCACCTCCTCTAGGGGGGCCCGGGGGCTAGCTCCCCCGGGAAGATTTTTTGTTACATATTTAAGTTAAAAGCATCAATCTGGTGCACTTTGAGAGCAACATTAAGAGATCTATGGATACATCTCAACACCCATACGAAACAGAACTGTCAACAGATTTTCTATTTCTTTATAGATATTTTACAAATCACTCCCCTTTTAAAACAAACCGTTTGAGACCCACTGAGATAACTAGACTAAAGTTAACTATCTAAACACTGAGAGAGTCCTTTACTTCACCTGAGTTGAGGTTACCTGAGACTCTCCGTCTGACAGGAGAGAGTTCTCCCTCCACCTTGTTGTTGAAAAAGCTCCTTATATCCATTAGCTTGGCTAGCTAGCACCAGATGCTAACCACGACGATCTCCGGTAGATACCCACTGGTGCGCGAGGCGAGCTCTCTCGCTCGCTCGCGCACGCACGCACACAAAATGGCTCCTGCCACACACACACACACACACACACACACACACACACACACACACACACACACACACACACACACACACACACACACACACACACACACAGAGCAGGGCTTGAATGAAACACAGAGACCCAGAAGTAAGCTACTTGTACTCACGAGGCCTATTATGTGCAGAATCCCTCTCGCTTTCAGTTGGTTTTGATTGAGTGTCCACACGTGGTCGTTTAAGGACTAAAAAACGATCAATTTTTCACTTTGCTGTTAGCAAATCATTTGGCGCTCTAGCTAACAGGAAGTCAATCAAGTGTCACAAAGTAATTTAGCCTATGGGTAGGTAAAAAATCGAATGGGTGCTAATCATGCTAATCGTGCTAATCGTGCTAATCATGCTAATCGTGCTAATCATGGCCTAATCATATCACCTGTGTTGGCTTTATGTTTTTGGTCAAAAATGTGTTTGTTTCACATATGCATTGATGTAATCAATAATATTTCTAATTTAATTTAATAAAAATAATAATAATAATTTTCGAAAAAAAAAAAAAAAACACATATTTCTTGGGGGTGCTTAGGGGGTGCTTTGGCAATCCTGGGGGGTGCTTCAGCACCCCCTAGCTCCCCCCTGGCGCCGCCCCTGCTACCACGGCGTGTGGTCACCTGAAATGACAACTGACAGGAAGGAAGAGCAGGCATTTAAGGAATTTAACATGTGCAGCAATTGGCTGCTGAGGGGTGACGCCCACGCATTTAATGAGGAGGGAGAGAGCAATAGAGTGACGTGTAAGTGACTCATTGTTAGGTCTTCCTTATTGAACTTGCGCTAAGCTTTAATTTCTCTCAAATATTGTTCACAAATCTGAAAAAATCTGTGATAGTGAGCACTTCTCCTTTGCCGAGATAATCCATCCCACCTCACAGGTGTGGCATATCAAGATGCTGATTAGACAGCATGATTATTGCACAGGTGTGCCTTAGGCTGGCCACAATAAAAGGCCACTCTGAAACGTGCATTTTTGCTTTATTGGGGGGGTCTGGGGGGGTCCGAAAACCAGTCAGTATCTGGTGTGAGGGGTAGGATTAGGGTTAGGGGTAGGGTTAGGGTTAGGGTAATGTTGTGAATCGAGTGGCCCATGGTGGTGGTGGGGTTATGGTATGGGCAGGCGTATGTACCCCTTAACTTGAATTTGATAACACGTGGCAACTTTATTAATACAGCAGATGAAAAGATTTGTGGAAGGATACATTCTTCATGGGCTTCAATGGCTCTCTAGATAAAGGGCGTTTTATGGTTGCTTGTATTATCCTCAGATAGTGGTTTGTTTAAATAAATAGTGACATTTGAATAAATATTGCAAAAAAAGGCTCCAAAAAAGGCATATACAGTGGGGCAAAAAAGTATTTAGTCAGCCACCAATTGTGCAAGTTATCCCACTTAAAAAGATGAGAGGCCTGTAATTTTCATCCTAGGTACACTTCAACTATGAGAGACAGAATGGGGGGGAAAGAATCCAGGAAATCACATTGTAGGATTTTTAATAAATTCATTGGTAAATTCCTCGGTAAAATAAGTATTTGGTCACCTACAAACAAACAAGATTTCTGGCTCTCACAGACCTGTAACTTCTTCTTTAAGAGCCTCCTCTGTCCTCCACTTGTTAACTGTATTAATGGCACCTGTTTGAACTCGTTATCAGTATAAAAGACACCTGTCCACAACCTCAAACAGTCACACTCCAAACTCCACTATGACCAAGACCAAAGAGCTGTCAAAGGACATCAGAAACAAAATTGTAGACCTGCACCAGGCTGGGAAGACTGAATCTGCAATAGGTAAGCAGCTTGGTGTGAAGAAATCAACTGTGGGAGCAATTATTAGAAAATGGAAGACATAATGTGATCATCAAAATGATCACAAGAACGGTGAGCCAAAATCCCAGAACCACACCTAGTGTGGACCTAGTGACCTAGTCAATGACCTGCAGAGAGCTGGGACCAAAGTAACAAAGGCTACCATCAGTAACACACTACGCCGCCAGAGACTCAAATCCTGCAGTGCCAGACGTGTCCCCCTGCTTAAGCCAGTACATGTCCAGGCCAGGGTTTCCGTTAGCCGGTAATTACCGGTTTTTAGCTGGTAAAATGTATTAAAAACCGGTAAATTCAAAACCTGCCGGTCAAAATGTCTGGTAATAATTAGGGAGGCTCCGATAGATCGGCCGCCGGTCATTATCGGCCGATATTCACTCTTAATAGTTTGATCGGTGCTCTCTATAAAGGCCGATCAGGAGAGCTGGATCTGATCGATATGGACATAAACGCGAGTGAAGTATAACCGGACACGCGAGAGAGATCAGATCAGCTGCTGAGTCTGACCGAGATACGCAGCTCTGCATAATCACCTGAAGCCCCGCCCTCTGTTTAGCGAGCTGCAGGAGCTGCATGAGAAACTGACGGGCTGTCAGAGAGAGAGGGAGGGAGAGGGGAAAAGAGAGGATCCGTTTCTCCCGTGTTATTATTCAAAGTTAATGTAAACTTTTGAATAATGTACGTTATCTACTACAAGTAGTTTGTTTGAATGTAATAATTATGTTGTTTGTTGTTTGTGGAATAATTTATTGAAAAATGAATCTGAATTTTTCGATCTGTTACGATTATAAACTGAAGCAATATAAAAATGAGCCCCGTGAACTGAGTTTTAAACTGAAGCATATCTGCTCATAGTCCGGTAATTACCTGCTAACGGAAACTCTGCTACACAACTCTTATTATTATTATTGAAATATGACCGGTAATTTTCAAATGTGTCCGGTAAAATAAATTCTGCCCGGACATTTGACCGGCGAGAAAAAATCCTAGCGGAAACCCTGGTCCAGGCCCGTCTGAAGTTTGCTAGAGAGCATTTAGATGATCCAGAAGAGGATTCGGAGAATGTCATATGGTCAGATGAAACCAAAATAGAACTTTTTGGTAAAAACTCAATTAGACGTGTTTGGAGGAGAAAGAATGCTGAGTTGCATCCAAAGAACACCATACCTACTGTGAAACATGGGGGTGGAAACATCATGCTTTGGGGCTGTTTTTCTGCAAAGGGACCAGGACGACTGATCCGTGTAAAGGAAAGAATGAATGGGGCCATGTATCGTGAGATTTTGAGTGACAACCTCCTTCCATCAGCAAGGGCATTGAAGATGAAACGTGGCTGGGTCTTTCAGCATGACAATGATCCCAAACACACCGCCCGGGCAACGAAGGAGTGGCTTCGTAAGAAGCATTTCAAGGTCCTGGAGTGGCCTAGCCAGTCTCCAGATCTCAACCCCATAGAAAATCTTTGGAGGGAGTTGAAAGTCTGTGTTGCCCAGCGACAGCCCCAAAACATCACTGCTCTAGAGGAGATCTGCATGGAGGAATGGGCCAAAATACCAGCAACAGTGTGTGAAAACCTTGTGAAGACTTACAAAAAACGTTTGACCTCTGTCATTGCCAACAAAGGGTATATAACAAAGTATTGAGATGAACTTTTGTTATTGACGAAATACTTATTTTCCACCATAATTTGCAAATAAATTCTTTAAAAAGCAGACAATGTGATTTTCTGGATTTTTTTTTCTCATTTTGTCTCTCATAATTGAGGTATACCTAGGATGAAAACTACAGGCCTCTCGTCTTTTTAAGTGGGAGAACTTTCACAATTGGTGGCTGACTAAATACTTTTTTGCCCCACTGTATATCCTGGCCGGGTTAGCCAGTGTGTATTTTTTCAAGCACCACAAGATTCATAGTTTATAAAGTACAATTCTGGACCATTGATTGTGTAATTTCTCCAAACACATACAGTAAAAATGTCTGTTTTGAAGCCTTAAAATGGTTCAGGAAAAGGACTTTATAGTTAAGAGAAGAGAAAAAAAGGAAAGAAAATTCTTATAATGGGTGATGTAACATTAATGACAGACATAATGAGGTCGTTGGCAATCAGACTCTAGAGGGGTCCTTTTGTGATCATGGGGCATCACCCTTGTATACAGCATCAGGAGAATATCATATGGAGTCAGACACTGGAAGTGTGCTGGAGGCGTTGACTGGGACTGATGGAAGGATGAGGCTGAAGAATCTGCGAGGAACAAACTAGCGGCTGAGAAATAATCATATATTAAAAGACAGCAGCTTCATAAGTGAGGCCAACCAGAGTGACAGAGTGTGTCAGTGTGCTGAAAGATATTTGTGACCAACATTTTTTTTTTAAATCTAGGAGGAAAGCGACGTTCCTAAATCTGTTAACTTCATTACATCATTATGTCTGCTTCAACTTTTAAAACACTATTCACTCGACATGTGTAATATTTATAAGAGTTTATTGAAAATGTATTTTGAAATAGAAAACATTGGCCTCCAAAAGTAAACATACTTTCATTATTATAAGGGAAAAAACAACAATACAATCGTTAAGCACATAAGACAAACATTAAAGATATAATCTGCATGCAAAACCTAAGGATAATCATTCATGATCAAGCATCCTTTAATTTATAAAAAATAGGTTAACAGCTGACTCAATCCATCTGGGATTTGCTGGATCAAAACATTACATGTCAGGTGAGAATGCTAAATCATGTCTTACATCATTACATCACATGAATGACTTACATGGTTTGCTGAATCTGGTTTTAACCTTACAGGAAAACGTATTCATTTTACAAAATATGACTGGTCCAAGTGTAAAAAAAGGGCAAGAGCTATGATTAAACATGAAGGTGCAAAAGCTATATTTGATAGAACCCCCTACAGAGACGTTTACATTACTATTTCCCCATTGTAATCGTTTAAGACGCTTTTTTTTCTTGAGGCACAATGTACGTTTAGTCTGAACAATGATTTCTCCACAACATTCACTTCTTTCCCTTGAGCTCCTCAATGAGATATTTCTCCTCTTTCTCAAGGATTCTGTAGAAGACGTCTTTGCCACGGGGCCCTGCTGCATTCAGGGGACCACTGAAGAGCTCCCTCATCTTCTGCGGAGAGGTTGGGATTACCAGGATTTCCCTATAACTGGATTGTGTGATGACTTCTTTCTCAAGGAGCTGGTCCAAAATGTCTGCAACGCAGTTCACTCTGTTGATCAGCTCGGTTCTATGTTTATCCACAAAGTGCTTACCTGAGGAAGGAGGGAATAATGAGTAAAGTGTTGATGATACCATGAAGCCAACTTGATACATTTCTAAACTTATATTTTATTTTCTATAATAGTGACTTCTTTATTTTCAATGTATGTGTATTGCATTAGTTTAACTGCATGTGGGTCCGTGGAAGGTTCGTTTAATAATTTGGGATAACTACACAAACCTGATATTCTATGTTTTAGAGAAACTGTTAATTATTTTTGGGAATAGTGGATTGGTAATTTTGCCATCGAAGCACATCTGAAATAATAAGGTCTTCTTCTAACAATTACAAACTTGTTTTACCCAAATGCAATTAAATAAACCTCTCACATCTTCTGCTTTGATGATGGGACATGCACATGTTGATTTTCTTGCCAAGAATGAGAAAAAAAGGTTGAAATGTCTCAACATCAGAGTTTTATCTTTATTTTCATATAAGGCAAAGAAAGAACCAAAAAAGAATATTTCCCAAGTGTCAAATTATTTGTTTAACAACAATGCAGCACTTATCAGTTTCATACATTGGTCTATAGCCTAGACTTTATTTAGAACAAGTAAAGCCTTTTCTAAATATTCATCATGAAGTAAATTAGCATGTATGTTTTATAGTCAGTCTGGGTTGCTATTCAAATCTGATTAGTGACTGATCCACGGGGATCACAAACCAAAATCAGGTGTTCACCCACTGTCAGCTGTCCCTCCAGCTGAGGGTCCCGCAGCTGAAACAAATTGAAGGAACATTTAAATTGCTTAATGATGGACAGGTTTGGTGTTTATGCTTTTTTTTTTCATGCACACAGCAACTCAGCAAAATACAGTCAATCGATGTGGAAATGTAAGATTCATTTTACATACAGGCACTGTCATTGGTTGCCAGTTTAAGAAAATACCTTAAACAATAAGACTGATGGTATTCTATTATTTTCAAAATGTCAACAAAATGTGTTACTGCATTACATAATTTGGGAAAGCAGTAATTATAAACCCTACAATTGAGGTATTTGACCAGAAATATTGGGAAATGTGATTATGTCCATATCACACAGCCTTAAATGACTATGCACCATTATTCACACTTTTCTTGTTGTCACTGTACATCCAAATTCACATAGTGTCAAGTCAATTGTTGTCAATGTGAAGGGTGCAGTTTGAGGAGAAATGTTAACCTGCAAATTCTGAAGAAGATGTTCCCTCTCCACTGTCTTTTGTGTGGGGCTTTCAAGATTTGTGAACTAAAGACTTTTCACTGTTTGAAATAAATTGAATCCTATACTAGTTTTCTATTTTATATAAGCAAGGAAACCTAATGTAGATAAACAACTCACTGTCCCTTGAACCATTTTCTGAGGACGGTCATTTTGAATACATGAAAGGATGTTTGTTTGTTTGTGTGAAATCAACTCACTGTTACTGGATCCAGGTTCTGAGTATTCAACACCTGTATCTTTCACTGAAATAACAAAGAAAACAACGTTAGAAAGTAATATGATGGAATTACAGCTTGACACGCAGGTTTCCTGAGGTTTGTCATGTTTTCTAATTTCAGAGCGTGGTTTTGGGCATGAGAGTAGCCTACTATTGATTTAACGCATTTGTTATGTTTATCATGTGAGACAAAAAGACCACAGTTCTCGTTTAGTGCTAAATTGTAAGTTTAATAATGTTCAATTAATGCGTGTTTAACTCGTATTACATTGTTATGAAAGCGCAAGGGAGGGTTCAAAGGTCTGCATATGAATGCATGCAAAGAGCTTACCTTTTTAACCATCAACTTACCTATGTTGTTGACATAAAAGGACGTTATTGTTTAAAACATTTTTGATAGCCTAAATAATTTCTTATTGAGTTACACTGTAGCCATAACTAAATACGGATATACACTGAAATGACTCGAGAGGAAGTCGGGCGGGTCCCTGCCCACTATAAAAGGCGGTTACATTTCCTAAACTGTGTAGAAACATAAGAATAAAGGCTACTTCAAGTAAACCCTCATCGATTAAACGTCGTTATTTGTCGCTGATTAATCTGCAAGCAGACATTTAGGGTGCAATTTTCTTCAGTCCAAAAAGTTCTGTTCTCATTTTGCATCAAACCATGAAGTACTCACACAGTTGGGCTGCTTCTGTGTTGCAATACATCGCGTTCAATAACTCAGCAGACACTTTGACAGCTCCGGTCTCACTGAAAGTGGATATCAGGACATCTGTGATCTCTAAGAAGCATTTCCCCTCCACCCTGTTGAGCGCGACCCGCGGCTCCTTTTTGCGGTGCACAAGCTCGCTTCGGAAATTGTTAAAGTTGACTGCTGACAGGTTAGACAACATGAGTTTTACAGCCTTTCGTTTGTCCATTTCTCAGCAACAGATGTGGGACTGCCGTGACTTTTTCTCCCAGACCAGCAGCAGAGGACACACAGCTGGATTTGCTTTTCTCTTGAACCGACTGACTGCTGCCGCGTTGGAGGGTTTGAAACATAGACTGTATGACTCATGGTGCCTTCAAATGCAGTCGGGAAACTACAATGATCATTATAGATATGTCAATAATACAGGACATACATTACATATTATTTATATACTGCAGTATATGCCTATACGTACACACGTAGACCAACATACTCTATAGTAGCTTTCATGCAACCGATAATTATGTTCTTTATCACAAATTAGTTGAATCGAAAAATAAGTAAATTATTAAGCTTGAGAGGCTCTAACCAGAGCTTCTTTTGCCTTTTGGCTTCAAGAATGACTGACAATGACATTATCCTAATGTTTGCCAATTAACTGGTTGTTGACTATAGGCTACTGGCCTATATCTCAAGACTGAAATACATGAGAAATGGCTAAAAAAGAAGAAGCAGAACAACATGTGAGTAGCCTACTCATTTTTAACCAACAGAGGTGAATGTTTACCCAAAAACTGCACCTAAACTTGAGTATTTATTTCACAATGAAGAGAGATGTCAAAAGCTGCCTGCCACAGCAAAATGTACCTTGACCCGACATATAATCAATAGTCGACATCAAAAGGGAACCATCAGAGGAAGTCTCAGATGCAGGTTTCCTTTTTATTGCTTTACTAATATTACTTCAATCAATCAATCAAAGGCTATTTAGCCCAATATCACACATATTACATTTGTCTCAGGGGGCTTTACAGAAAAACTACAAAATAAAACCCATAGCCAATGGGGGGAACAAATGGAAGAAACCTCAGGAAGAGCAGCAGAGTACGGATCCCTCTCCCATGGACGGACCGATGTGCAATAGGTGTTGTGTACATTTGAAAGATAATAAATGTATAACAGAGACATAGTGAATCTATTAGAAGAAGATGAATCCAGGTGGATGTCAAAAATGGTCCAGGATTTATTACACTGTAGTCCAGGGCTGTCCAAACTACGGCCCGGGGCCAAACTACGGCCCGCAGGCCATGTTGAATCGGCCCTCAGTAAATACAAAAAGTATAATGGAATACGGCCCACAAATGAAACTTGTGCTTTTCTTATATTGTTCTTCTTAAATATATATGTAAAACTATATTACACAGTAGTATTCATGTGTTAATAAGACCACTTTAAAATAAATAAAGTTGGAAACGTTTTCTAAAATATCTTAGTTGTGTGGCCCAGCCCTTCGTATATTTTTCTGTGGCCCTCTGAAAAAAAGTTTGGACACCCCTGCTGTAGTCTAATAACATGTCACTGTGGTCTAGGTCTGCTGAGAAGCTGTATAAGGGGGAATAGATCTATCAGATCTATTTTAAATCTTATAAATCATTTTGTAGCAACTGTAAAGTGTAGCCTTAGCCTGCATGACGCCTTAGTGTTTTAATGGTAAGAACAGCCATTCAAACTTTTATTTATAGGGCATTTTCTGTAATGCAGGCTGCTTTTTAGGGATTTGTTAACATAGAAGTGCATAAATGTGTCAGGCCCCTTTATAGTCTAGATACATATTATAAGACACCTCCATTTACATGAAGACCTGCTTGTTTTCTCTTCAAAAGGTTTAAATGGAAACAATATTGAATACCCATGCCTATACTGAGAGCTACAGTACAAAGCATTAATACATGTTTCAGTTTCAGTAGCAGATTACCCTCTTGTGTGGCAATAATCTTGCTGGGCATGATGGGAATAGAAGTACAAAAGATGAGAAATACAGACCAAAACAATGGCTTTGATTTCATTAAAAACGTTTAACTTTATTGGGATAAAAATAACATTTGAATGTGCCATGGTTGTTGAAGATATCTCAATTCAGATTGAAGCTTTTGATATAAATTATTTCGATTTGTTTCCTTCAAACATCCAGCATTCAGGCAGTGAAACATGATCTGAGATGTTGCTTTACCACCGATACCCCACTCACTACAGCTCCTGGTCAGGGTCTTGCAGCTGTAAGACATTTAAGAACAAATTAAATGTGAATTGTACATCTTTGCCCAATGCTTTACATGTAATAAACCAATTCTGGACATGCCAACTTACTGTCAAAAAGAGCAGTCTAATGTTTTCCGGTTGTGTTTCTGACTGTAAACAAATAAGAACAACATTTAGGGTACAGACAGATTGCAGAAGGGGTTCTCAATGGAAACCACTAGTCTGGGCCATTCCCAAAGGATTTACGAAATGTCTACATTGTTAAGAGAAATGTAAGATGATTTCAATTGAAACAAGGAAACACTGGCAGGTCGTCAGTTTCCAGGAAACTTAACTTATGCAACAATAACCTACAGCACAAGTTAAAGAGCGAGAAAAAACGCGGGCTATTCGAAACAAACAATGGTGTACAACTTTATCTATGCAGAAATATATTGCATATATATATTATCGACCATTTGAATTGTGAGCTGTCGGTGATTTATCTGACATTTTAGGGTTCAATGTTCTGCAGATGATTCGGCTCTGTTCTCATTCTGCATCAAAGACATGAAGCGACACTTACCGAGTTGGTCAGCTTCCTCGTTGCAGTCAATCCCTCTTAACATCTCAACAGCTACCCCAACAGCGCCAGTCTCCGTGAAAGTGGAAACGAGGACGTTTGTGATCTCAAAGTGGGTTTTACCCTCCACCCTGATCCGTGCAACCCGCGGTCCTTCTTTGCGATGTAAAAGCTCGTGGCGGAAATTGTTAAAGTTATTGTTCGACAGACCCTCGAACATGTCAGCTATAGCCATCTTAATATTTTGAGAAGACATTTCTAAACCTGGTTACTGCGGGGGGAATCTGAAATGTCCTTTTGATTTGAACTTTCCCTCGTTCACACCAATATAGAAAATAATAACCACCAGACGCATTCAGGAAGGAGGCTTTCACTGCCGCTGGAAAATGTCGAAATTATGACTTATCAGATGTCAATGTAACGAGGAAACACATGTAAACAAGGAAATAAGTGGTTTGCGAAAACAGATTATAGATAATAATTAAATCGCCAGTTTGATTGATATTCAAACAAACGAGATTTAGGAAAATACATAAATACATCAAGAGGGACTGTTTTTGAAAAGACCCCTTTCAAGTGCAAATATGTAGGTTAAAGAAGAATAGGCATCACAAGGGCCCTATTCACATGACAATCATTTGGTATCATGCACTCTTATAATAATAATAATAATAATAATAGGCCTACTAATAGCATGATACTTACAAAAACCCTTTTGTACTCATGTCATTAAAACAATATAACAAGAAGTATGAAAAACACATTATGAGAAACACACATTTTAGTGTTTTATTGGCAGTATTTCCAATATGAATGGAGTAAGACTCTCACACAAATCAATGAGTTTATTATGGCATAGATATGTCTTATAATTATTTGTGTGAACATAAAAATAATTTGTGTGTAAATATGTGATTTGTAAATGTAAAACACCATCCACAAATGCATTTAAAAGATTTGCAAACTCACAAATAAATGTGCAAGTGTAAAACGGATCTGCAAATACGCTAAATATTTTCACAAATAAAAAAAAGATCTGTGATTATCTCTTTAACATTGACAACTTTCGATCAGGCATTTGTGAATCCATTTTGTATTTGCCGACCAAAACTGCGCTTGCGGATCTCAAATCTCTGCTCGCGGATCTCATATTTCTGCTTGTGGATCGTCTTTTTACACACACGGAATTTTGAGACATATTTTCCGCCGGTCTCGGCTAAAATCTACTCGTGTCACTTGGTTATTTTCGGCCTGCTGACGACGACATTTCCGCATGATTTCAAAGTAAGAGCATGATGGTTTGTTTAATGCTCTGTTTTTTTATTATAATGAACAGCGGAACGTTAGATGCATTCTTTATCACCATCACCATCATCATTTTATAGTGATACAGTTAGTTTGTGTTAGTTTATTGGATCAATATAGCATATATCGAGCACATGCATTGATGTTGAAGTATACGCCACTTTCGGGTCCCGGGGGAGGGGAGCAGCTGGCAGCGAAGCAGCCCAGATAAAACTCTTCATTGTTTGTTGTGTATAGTCAAGCGGGTCAAAGTTACAAAGCACTTCACCTCTATGGTGATGGTGATCACGTGGTTTCCGAAAATAACCGAGTGACACGAGTAGATTTTAGCCGAGACCGGCGGAAAATATGTCTCAAAATTCCGTGTGTGTAAAAAGACGATCCACAAGCAGAAATGTGAGATCCGCGAGCAGAGATTTGAGACCCGCAAGCGCAGTTTTGGTCGGCAAATACAAAATGGATTCACAAATGCCTGATCGAAAGTTGTCAATGTTAAAGAGATAATCACAGATCTTTTTTTTATTTGTGAAAATATTTAGCGTATTTGCAGATCCGGTTTACACTTGCACATTTATTTGTGAGTTTGCAAATCTTTTAAATGCATTTGTGGATGGTGTTTTACATTTACAAATCACATATTTACACACAAATTATTTTTATGTTCACACAAATAATTATGAGACATATCTATGCCCATAGTTTATATACAGTTTATTTACACAAAGCAATCATCCCACAGTCTTTCACAGTGATTGTTGTTGAACAGAAACACATAAACTGAGATTATTTTCAGGCAGAGGTAGACATGAGTTTTGTATTTTAAAAAATACATATAAATGCACAAAACTCTATTGCATGACCATATGAACACTATTTACAATCAATTAGTTCTCAGAAACACATAACATTTTAAGAGTGGTCCCTGATGTTGCAAACAAGTAGTGCTTCAAATGCCCCTGGGCTGTTGTTTTTTGGGCTGATATGCTATATTAATGGGTCAGTTTTTGGAACACTTTTGTCTAATTTGATCCACTATTTAAGAAAAACTAAAATATTGATTGATTGCATGAATTTGACGAGTTTTTTAAAATCTTTTTATTCCCTGAAATGCAGCATCTTGGCTCTCTGCATCATCCTCACCCGTACTGCACTTCAGCCAGGGCTCAAGGAGGCAGTGTTTACTTCATAGGCTGGTTTAAGTCCTCCTGGCACCCATTCCCTACTGTGACGCCCATGTTTCACTGCTGTGCTCTGACGTAGCTGCAGGTACCCCGGGCCACGACTCTGTGTTCGTCGGCAAAACGTTCAGGCTCGTCAGGACCTCCTGCGCCGTCTTTCCCAGCATGCCCTGTATGTCACAGGCAAAGCGGTAAACATAGCGTTTGCCCGCTGTCTTGTGGATGATGTTCTTGTGGTAGTAGTAACGCAGGCCACGGCTCAACTTCTCGTAGTTCATTTTGGGTTTGTTCTTGCATTGGCCCCAGCGCTTAGCCACCTGTGGGGTCAACAAAAACATATAGAGTTCAACTTAGTGTCATGCCAATAAAGCCCCTTTGTATTGTATTGTCTTTAGTTAAGAAAACAATACATGTTGAAAGTTGTAGAAGTACTCTGATCCCATACCAAAGTGACATGATATCAACGTAGAAATACTCCATTACAATTAAAAGTGCATTTAAAATCCCCCTTAAGTCAAATGTGTGAGAAGTAGTATCAGAAAAATGTAGCCTACCGCACGTATCAATTAGGATTTATTGCTGAAGCTGCTCAAGGTGGAACTAGTTTGAACTATTTCAGTGAATGTAATAATATACATTACAAGTTTATTCAAGAGGTTCAAAAGATAATGTGAGGGGTCATGAGATGATTAAAGAGTTACATAACACCACCTGAACATATTTTCCTTGCTTATCTCCAGTGGCTGCAAGGAAGTGCTTGAGGTGACACAGGCTTGCCACTTTCAACCAGAGAGGGCAGCAAAACTCTGCTTTCAGCCACTTACTCTTAGTTGACAGGAAAGACTAATCCATTACAAATATTTGTCTTCCTGTATTTGACTTTTCTATAATCTTTTTGTTACAATAAACAATTTGACCTCTCGACCACTAATATTTGTATACGCCATGTTGAAAGTTCACAGGGTATATGTCGCAGACTCACTCAGACATTTGAATTGTGCCCTCACAGATTTATTTTTGTAAGGACCAAAAGGGTTAGAAAGCACTCATTTAATTCTTAATTCATTTTATGAATTTAAGATGTTTTTGTATGAATAGTCTTAATCTGAAAAGTAAGTATTTATAGTTGTCAACAGCATGTTTAGTAGGCGTACAAGTGTCAAGTATGCCAGGGGCGCCGCCAGGGATTTTGGGCCCCATGAAAAGATAATCACATTGGTTACTTAAACATTTTTTTTTTAATGTTCTAAAATAGTTTGGGCCCCTGTCAGTCACGGGCCCTTAGAATCGTCCTAACTTTTCACCCCCTTACGCAAGTAAGCATACAATGGAAATACAGCACTTAAGTAAATGTACTGTTTCTTTCCACTACTGCTTTGTAGTACTTTTTCTTACCTCTGCGGGGTCGGACATCTTGAATTCCCAGCCATCTCCCGTCCAACAGATGAAGGTACAGCAGGCAGAGTCCAGTAGTAGCTCCAGTAAAAACTGCCACAACTGGATTGGACCAGAACCTGAATAAAAAAATAAATGTTATCGAGTTAAAATGGCAATTTTGTTTTTATAAACTGTTATAATAAATGAGTTGAAGAGGTATTGTGGTCATTTTAGTGAAGTAGCTACATAACTATTATCAGCAGAATATACTTAAAGCATGTATTACTGATGTCTGGATTATTGATGCATTTAATGGGCAAGTATAATTTCAATGTTGTCAAAGTGGCGCTATTTATTATTTATTTATTAAACATAAATTACAAACCTGGATAAGCTGACATCCCCGTCATCTGGCCCTCCCTGTCCAGCCTCTGAAGGTGAGTGTTTTTGCGTTTGACCACACGGGGACAGTACTGCTCTGAGGAATGAGGGCCGTGGTTTGAGGGGCAGGGGGCCGGGTGTGGGTGAGGTAAGGGGGCAGTGAAGCTGGGGGAAGAGTAATCCGGCCAGAAGGACGACGACTGCCTCTGCCCGTCAGAGTCGTAGAGTTCAGCCGAGTGACACGAGAAGCTGTGATCCGTCTCACCTGAAACACAGAGAAGAAACATATTAGATGGGGTGTTTTTAATGGCTTCATAAAAGTCCCATGAGAAAAACTTAAACTGATAAAGAACAACTAAATAAATAAGATATAAATATAATAATAAAAAGTATAATATATAAAGAAAATAAAAAATATAGGAATTTTATTCATCACAAAATATATTCAATTTTTTCTTAATGATAAATTTCCAAGAGTTAAAATACATTATTTATTATTATTATTATTATATTGTTTTTCCATTTATATGTAAATATATATTTTTTTGCCCTATTATTTTTTCATTTTCCTTTTAGTTTCTTTTCTGGAAATTTGTAAAAAAAAAAAATGATATCGAGTAATAAACAAAAACCATACTAATATATAGAAAAATGAATGAAAATATTGATTTTATTTTCTTTTAAATGTCTCTGGATATTTCAATTTTTGTATTTGCTTATTATTTTTATTTGTATTTGTCTTCATATTTCATTTACTTTTTGTTGTTCTTTTATATATACTTTACACAGATTTTCTTATTCTTTTACACTAGCTTTGTTTATGTCACTCCTTTGACTCCATATTCTTAACATCAGGTAAAGTGTCTTACTTTGTGAGGTTCCTTTGGCAGTGAGGAAGGGGCTGTGGCTGCCCTCCAGGGCCGGGCTGAACTGTCCATTTTGGGGCACGAGGCTCTGGTACGTCTGAAGAGACTCGTGGTAACCAGTTTGGGACTGGCCTACCGTCAGACCATCTGCAAATCAAACAGAAAGTTAGTCACAAAGAAATCCCTTTGGAAAAGATCATTACAGTGCGAGTATTAGCTCACCCTGTGGATATGAGGCCCACCAGTTGAACTCGTGGTATGAGTCCAGGTTGAAGAGGGAGGAGTCACTAGGGCTCGCTGAGGGGGGAAAGCACAAATTAGAAATACGTCAAAAACACCAACATATGCCCAGTTGTAAAATCAGATGAGGGACATTTGCTAAGTTCAATTGCTATTGAACTTTCTATATTGTGCTACTGCCCGACTACAACTCAAATGGCAACATTATGCTTTAACTAAATGTATTTGATAACATAAATACTTTGCAGATTAAATTCAATAATACAGCATTTAATTAAAAAAAAGGATGCATTATTGTTGATTAAGAACAAAATAATTTATCCATGGGGAAAGAGGAAACGCTACCAAGCAGCATATATGAATAATACATTATTATATATACACATTATTGCATCAATCATCATAGCTGTATAATTAGAATACCATAATGCACTATGCCTATAATGTACTATTCTTTAACTAAGATATTTTCGACACAGTGTACTACTACTTTTACTCAAGTTAGAGACACAAATTCTACTACACATTAATCATATTAGCAAACATGATGGCATATTATTTTGTATCTTGACGTTTGAGACACACACCTTTAATGTCATAAGTGTGAGAAACTTTTGGTGGGTCAGGGTAGCTGCTCTCTGCGACGTACTGCTGCTGTCCGGATGTTTTACTGTCTAACAGAAAAGACAGGTCTTCACCAGGGCAGTCTGGAGGTTAAACACAACACACACATGGAGTCAGTTAGTGATGATGATGATGATGGTGGAAGGAATAGAGGCAGTGTTCATGCTTGTGAAAAAGACAACACTAATGGTTTTAATTGACATTAATGCCTTACATTTTCCAGAGTTATTTAATGAATTCATCCCTACTGCACTGCATTGGCAAGCTAATGGTTTTCATTAGTTTAGCAAGGATATATTCAGTTGCAGAGACTTAAAATAAGTAAATCAGGTTCAACACATTGACGTCTGTTGAATTTCACTTGAAGACATTATGCAGTAGATCAGCTGCAAGGAGCTACATTTGTAATGCATTCAGGTGCTTTTTTAAACCTTTGTAATGCCATACTTTCACATGACCTTTTTCAGGTTGCTTCACATTATTCTTTGTAGTTTAATTTTCTTATAACCTTGTGAGTGCATTGCCAAGTGTACATTTTAGATGTAAACACATAATTTGATGGATTACAGAGGAATACTTTGTCCTGACAATTAAACAACTAAAACTCTGAATACACAGCATGTCCAGAATGTTTCAAGTGTATTCTCGTTTTAAAATGGAACAAACTGAAACCCTGAGGCTGCCCTAAGTTGCCCTAATGTCCTGTAAGCGCTTAAGTGCATTAAAGCTCAGCAAAATAGTTGTTACAAGAGGAAATATGGAGTGATGTTGTAAGTATGTGGATTTTTATCTGAAGGGTGGATGTTGACGCAAGAATAAGACATTTGTTTACTGTCGAATCAGCACCAGGCACTCAGGTTTATTCAGCTCGAGATGGAGGCAGGAGGAAACGAGGGAGGGAGGGGGGAGGAAGAGAGAGGAGGAAACGCCAGCGGAGGGAGGGTGACAGAGTAGTGATGGAGGTCTGGAGAGGGGGGGACTCTAAATCTGTTTGAGGAGGAAGTCTGGAGGAAAGGATTAGGGAAGACAGAGAGGGGAGTGTCTTTAACCTGAGCACCCTTTCTCTCTATCTTTGCCTACCTCAGCTCATTCAAGCATTATTCACACACACACACACACACACACACACACTCTCACACAAACAAACACACACAGAACCCCAGTATCCGGATTGTTAGCGGCCCGGGGGTCAAGGTCTCATTGAGAGAGCTCTGACAGATGTGATGATACTCTCTGTGCAAATATTTCCTCTGTCCTTCAGCTGCTCAGGTCCAGAGGAAACAGATTGTGCAGACATTTAAAACAAACAAAAAATTGTCTGGGCATCAATGAGAGAATAAACCTTCAGAAGTCATGATGTTCCACCCGTGATGGAGCAAGTGATTCTATAAACTCACCATAAGATGCAAAGTCGAAGCCAGCTGGCACTTCCTGAGTCCTGAAGTCTTCCGTGTAATATCCAGGCTGGCAAATCTCCATCTGTGTGGAAAGAGTCGAGATTACAACTTTAATCGTCATAACAATTCTCATTGTTGATCAATATCTAAAGGCAGAGACAACATGAAAAGCCTTGCACTTCATATTGATTGAAACAAAAACAGATGTGAATAATTTTCTTTAAATAAGTGATACATCAGGTTGAGCACTTATCCTGTTTGGCACATTGTCTTTTTATAATGCATAAATGTACAAAGGTAAGCAGGGCAATTAAAAAAAGTTGCTTTATGATCCTGGAAAGTCAGACATTTTTAAAGATATTTTACTGGATGACACTTTTTTTCTTCTTGCATTTGACTCACTTTGAAGCTGAATTTGTGATTGCATTGCTTTTGTCCACCAACGATTATATAGGCCTAAGAGTACTAATTCCATTATTTATAATTGTTTTGTCTAATAATGAATGTATCATAACGTAGTAAAAAAAACACCTCATAAAGACAATCATGCTATTGAACCCAATATTTGCCTGTGATAAAGAAGGGATACAAAATAAAATATAGCAAGGCTTGACATTGTTGTGAATGAAATACACGAGTTTCTATGCTTGATTCACTAAATAAATACTTTGATCTTCTGTGTTATAAATAAATAATACATACCTTTATTTTCAAGTCTTTGCTGTCTGTGTTTCTGTCTCCAGGTTTGGTGATAGTGTCCCAGTACATGTCTCTTTTTCTCCCAGATCCACACACGCTATTCACCGGCTTCACGGAAACAGAGAGTGGTCAGTCCCGGCCGGACCGGTCCCGTTTTAAACGCGTCGGAGGTGGGAGGGGCTCTGCGTCGTGACCGGGTTTGTTTAATGGAACGTGACGTCAGACGCACCCTTCCCATAGCACAAAGCAACTAAACCTTCATTCATAAAATTCCCCCTGACAAATAAATCATCCGGTAAAATATATTACGACCAGCTCAAACATTGGAACATATTCAGAAACTGTACTTCAGTAATGATGTCAACATCCACTATAAAAGTATTCAGGAGCAAGTAAACCATGCGACAAAAGTGTTAGCAACCATGAAGAAGGCTATCAAAAGTATGGCCAAACTCATACGGCAGCAGAATTGATATGTCAATGTATGCAGTCATCCTATAGAGGCTATTATTTGATTGCTGATAAAATTACAATTATTGTTTTAGCCTTCCCAGCTCCAACACACTTTATAAGGTACATTTGTAATCGCATTTTAGCCTAGACGTTTTGTAGGCCTACTACATTTTTTATCTGAAAAATAAAGCACAGTAAAAGGTAATGGCATTGCTCAAGTAGATTATACCTAAGTGAAACATCAGACAACATCATAAAATGAAGGATGATTTATTGATTACAAAAATATATTTAAAAAGAAAAAGAAAATGAACGACGTTAAAGATGACCTCCACTCTAATAATAATGGTTCATAATTAACAGATAGTTGCAGATCTATGAACACCACATCTCAAAACCCTAAAATAAAACATAATATAAAAGATACAGCAATACACATTGTCACTGCAGCATATGGTTGGTTAGCAAATCAATACGGTTCATTATTTATCGATACAAATAATTGAACTACTCATACAATAGGAAACCACGTTATTAATCCCACATGGGGAAGTTTAGTTAATAAACCTGTAGAGGATTACATTTTAAAAAATCCATATAAAAATGTAAGAATAAAGAAAACATGACGGAATAATTGGCAGCCAAAACAACAGTGTTATTTTTATATTCTCTCACTGAATGGCTCTGATTGTCTGACAGGCGGGACTCAATACTGAGCCAATGTTTGGGTGGGGATGAAGTGCAGGCTTTTGAAATCAGAGCAGTCGGTTTCTAATTAGGTGGGAGGAAGAAAGAAAAAATCTTTGTATCTTTAGAAACCATTCAACACAACAATGGCCCGTAATTTCTCTTTTTTTTAAAAACACAAGTAGGCCTACTTGCTGAAGAAAGTCTGAATCACGGCGTGAGTGGCTGCAGCAGATAAGGCCGACCCCAGGGCCTTGTATAAACAAACAATTCACACACACACACACACACACACACACACACACACACACACACACACACACACACACACACACACACACACACACACACACAAATGCGCGCACACACACGCATCTGGAAAAGTGGAGCTGGGTGAAATCGTGCGCGTCGGTGGGAGACGGGAGTCGTGATTGGAGCCCCTCCTCAAGAAAAGGACACAACGGGGGTAAGGTTACACAACACGAAGTGATTAACAACCGTCTGCAGTCAACTATCAGGACTCCACCTGGGGTAACAGGGGGTTAAAGTAAATGGTCACGGAGCAATACAAACATCAACAAAATGTGGGAAATGTAAAGAAAAATAAAAGTTGTAATGGCACTCTACACTGGAGTAGTGGACGTTTCATGACATTTTTTGTTCGTGAAATAAAGTCTTTGTTCATGCTAAGACTCGATTAAAACACTTAAATCTTCCCTTATTGTCAGCACACAATGTTCCTGCATTGGAAACCTAAGTAGGACTTTGTGTAAATTGAGCAAAATGAGGTCATTTTAAAATGGTAAAAGTACTCGAGCCCTGTGACAGTATTAGGCCTATACAATTTATTTGATGGATTATTGCTCCTCATGCATTTTATTTTTCACGAATGGATTAATCTGATGACTCCTGCAGTGATTGTTCCATGAGTTTGTGAAACGTATTAAAATAATGACAAATGCCATCACAAAACCCCAAAGAGGATGTTGACTTATCTATAATCATAACTCTTCATATGTTTAGTTTGTAAAGTACATTTGGCGATATGTGTAGTAAAAAGTAAAATACTGTATTTTCCTCTGAAATGTGGTAAGTAAAAAGTACAATGAAAATACTTTTGTAAAAGTATCAAAAGTTTGTACTTAACTTCTGTACATCAATTAATGAGCACTGAATGAAACAGGAAGTGTAATTAAAAACTGCTTAGTTGCTTTTGCACTTTTGATATCCTATAGACGGGAAGGAATGAATTTCTCTATTTGTTCTGATCTTTCTGTTTTTAACAACTTAAATAGTTTGGCTTATTTGATGCTTAAGTATACCTGCAGTATTCTGAATGCATCCTCTTGGTTGATTGTATTTGTTGGAAGACGCTTTGGATAAAATATAAATAATGTGTAATCTTTGAAGAAGGGAGTTGCCTAACATTTGGTTATTTTCAAGAACATTCATTAAGTTTAAGGCTAAGCTAAAATGTTATCAGGTCTGTCTCAAAACAAAAGTTACGTGACCATAAGCATTGAAACAGGATTTACTTCCTGAATGTATTCTTCCTGTCCATGCTGGCCTTTAAGAAATACACATCAATGTTAACCTCTGTTTGTGCACATATTCAAAATCTGAAGTTAATATAGAGCTCCAGCTGTTAGACACATCCCATGGATATTTAGTGACAGTCTGCACTGCAGTATCAATCTTATAAGCTGTTGTGAATTGATTATGGTACATTATCATACGCTGGTGTTTATTGTGCCATGTAAGCATGTATATGGCATGATGTCTCCAAAAGTCCACCAACACTATGTTGTTCTGACACTTTACAGGCTTTCAGTATTCAGCACCTTTTACTTTCACTTCTGTTTAATTGCAAAACACTAATCAAGTGTTGTTTTAAATGATGTTAAGTATGTCATGTTTTCCAATGTCCACACATGAATCTATTGCAACACACACGCACTAGCTTGTGTTGTGCCCTTCTGAGCAGTAAGTGACTGTTGTTTCATGAGAAGTAGTTTCAGAGCAGTGACTTCACTTCCCAATTTACAGAGAGAGAGAGAAGAGAGAGAGAGAGAGAGAGAGAGAGAGAGAGAGAGAGAAGAGAGAGGAGAGAAGAGAGAGAGAGAGAGAGAGAGAGAGAGAGAGAGAGAGAGAGAGAGAGAGAGAGAGAGAGAGAGAGAGAGACTTGTCATCCGGTTTTGGTCTGCGAGCAAAAAATTGTAACTGCAATGGTTTGCGCCATAGAGCCAATGCACCCCTGCATGCATTGAAGTGAGGTTAGAAGGCTTAATTATCTGCACCATTTATTAAAAACGACTAAATGACAAAGACTGCAAAGCTGCTGCAATGGACTGTACGATAAAGGTACGTGTTTAATAGTTTTTTACGCTGCTGCTGTGGTGAAAATGACAGCCACCCACCAGCCCGCTGAGTGAGAGAGTCAAAGCGGTGATGAGAGCTCCCCACTCTTTCCTTCTTGTACAAAATTTCCTCTTCCTTCCCGTTCGTGGTTGTATGTCGGCTCTATAATAACACAACTAACCACTACATCTCTACACTCAGATAAAAACACTAATTGGTGGCCGGTTACACGCGTAAAAGAGGATTTCCAAAATCGTTTCAGTTTTTTTTTCTTCTGATTGATGTGTTGTGTAGGAGCTCACTATCCACGGAACCTCAACACATACACACAAATAACGCAGAGATAACTTAATATTTAGCAAGTTTATGAACTTTAACGAATAATTCGTGAATTAAAGGATGCTGGATTTAATTTGTGCGCACAAGGCAGGTGTCGCTGAAGGCGCCATGGATCAACTTAGTCAATTTTCAGCCGAGCAGGAGGACTCCTTTCCATCAGATGACTGGTATTTCACATTTTCTGTTTGAGTTATCCAGACAAACACAACTCAGTCATTGTTTCATTTTTGTATCCTCTCTTAAATGCACCTCAAATCGAAAGGCACTTTTTAATCAAGTTAACGTTGAAAACTCTTCATTGCGCAATGAAAGAAAACGCTAAAATGTTTATCTGATGGTGTCGGACACAAATTGCCTAAATACATGGCCTTATTTATGTTTCTTCATCGAATGTGGGTGTAATATACACTATTTTACTGAAGGCTTTTATATTTATTGCTGCATTAAAATGTAATTGTAATCTTCGGGAGAATCTTAAAGATGTTAACTAAATCCGTTTACTAAATCCCATGCGATGTTTAAAATGTGAAATAATTGGTTTTACATGACATTACCACAACGAAAGATTTGATACGTCAACCAAAACTAAATGTCTTATTCAGCCAATTGTAACAAGAGGAAATGCATTTCATTATAAAAGTTCTCAGTGGTTTGAGGAACTATTATTGTAGCATACTTGTGTCTCTCTTGTTTAGTTTCCAAAAAATATGTCTATGAAAGCATCTTGGTTAAGTTAATTATTTGTACATTATTTTCCTTCATAGAAAAATAGCAACTTAAGGTCCTTTGCAGGAAAAGGAGGACATCCTGTTACCAAAGCATAAATAATTAATGTAGTCCTTTAAAAGTGTATCTATTTAATGTTTGAGTTTGTTTAAATGCTGGACCATATTCAGAATTATCAGTTAAAAACATAATCATTCAGATAATGAGTCTCCTGTACTGTGTCGCAGCAAGATTGTTTGTATGAGGTTATTTTAAGTATAATTTATTGCTGCAAACGGGAGCACTTGTCAGGTGTCGTTATCTGAACTCAGCAGGCTTCCTGTCAGAAACCTCAGACTTTCCGCACACATTTCCGCTCAGTGAACTAGAAAAAAAAAAATGGTGAAAAGGCAACAAAGCCTCTCCTGGAAGAAACGAAGTGGTCAAACTAAGGCGTTGCATTGTCCAAACTCCACATTGTCCCCTCAGAGGGTCTGGGAGGTGCAGGAGGCTGTCTGCGGCCTGCAGGTCTGAGACCAGCCAGGCCCGACCTGTGGAAACCGCAGCGTGTTTTTGTAGCACAAGGTGCAGCTGCTCAGGCCT